GGCAGTACCATGGGCATTAGGTGTCTTCAATCTTTTGTTCAAATCAGAGTTTATTATTCAGCTTGGACAGAACACCATGCAAGTCATTCCAAAACATAGGGAGCAATCCAGACCGGTTCTTCTCAATTACATTAGGTAAACTCAAGCGGTCGTAACCAGGTGGAGTTAAAAGGAGAAGAATCCACCAATGTGCTGACTATAGAAGGGAAGGAGCCTATGATATCAAAAGTAAATCTCATCCTAACAAGAACGACAGGAGAAAGAAAGACATACAAAATATCACGTTCCTGGTTGGAGACCAGATAGGCGAAGAGGCTCCCCTTGCGCCTCGTGTCCCTCACCCCTGGAGATGGAGACAGAAAATGAGTGGACAACGAGTAGAACGAGTGCCAATGGATGTGTATACACTGTGCTGGGTGACGGTCCAGGAGCAGGTCAGACAGAGCCGAGGTGAAGCCAAGCAGACGGCAGAGTACCAGAACAGGGTAGAGGAGGGGGCCTCCTTGCACCTCGTGTCCCTCACCCCTGGAGATGATGACAGAGAGTGAGTGGACGAGTAGCATGAGTGCCAATGGATGTGCGGACACTGTGTTGGGTGACAGTCTAGGAGCAGGTTAGACAGAGCAGAGGTCAAGCCGGGCAGACAGCAGAGTACCGGAACAGGTTAGGGGAGGAGGCCCCCTTGTGCCTCGTGTCCTTCACCCATGGAGATGGAGACTGAGTGAGTGGACAGAGAGTAGCATGAGTGCCAATGGATGTGCAGACACTGTGCTGGGTGACAGGCCAGACAGAGCCAATGTCAAGCCAGGCAGACAGCAGAGTACCAGAACAGGTTAGGGGAGGAGGCCCCCTTGTGCCTCGTGTCCCTCACCCCTGAAGATGGAGAGTAGCATGAGTGCCAATGGATGTGCGGACACTGTGCTGGGTGACAGTCCAGGAGCAGGCCAGACAGAGCCAATGTCAAGCTGGGTGGACAGCAGAGTACCATGACAGGAAGCAGAAGCATAGTCCGGGTAAGCCAATGGGTCAAACCAGCCGGGCAACAAAATACAAGAGCAGGTGGCAAAGGCAGAGTCCTGTGATCAAGAGGCGATCCGGGTCAAACACAAGGAACAGGCAGTCCGACAGAGGAACAGGTCACTGTCTGAAGACAATTCGGCAACTATGAGTAGGGATGGCTTGTTTACATAGGCCAATCCATTAGAGGGGAATACGTCCTATCCTGTGCACCGGACGTCGACTCGTCTTCCCGCACTTGTCATATTGGGTTACCCTACAAAACGGAAAACGTGACCACGCACAGAGACAGCCGTTGCCTTACACCATAGAGTAGGCGAGATGGAAGTAAAAAGTCCCAGTGTAGAAGAGAATCGTGTAAGGACCAGGGAAAGGGGGGAAGGGGGACACCATTCTACAGACCAACATAAAAACAATATATAAAAACAAAGATTTGTGTGAACAGATCCTTAGTAACTGGTGCCACGCCCCTAATTTAGTCGACAAGATACTGAAAATAAATCAGTGGGGGTTTAATGGCGCCATATGGCAAGTCCAATAAAACACAATCATTGATTACATTAAAAAAAAAAGTTTCACTTTTATTGAATACAAATAGTAAAGACAATTATTACACTTCTTAAAACTCAACCTTCCAAAAACTGAGCATGATATTTCCCCTTCCCCCAACTTTTCCCTTGAGATTGATAACACATCTATGCAGCCCTCCCCCCATGCCAAGGTCCTAGGGGGCATCCTGGGCTCGGACCTCAACTTTCCTCCCCACATCCAATCACTATCCAAATCCTGCCGCCTTCACCTTCGCAACATCTCCAAAATACGCCCCTTCCTCACCAATGACACCGCAAAACTACTCATACATCATGTCTCAAAGTATCGCCCTAACCGCCCCCTCCGCTCTTCCGTAGACCTCCTGCTTTTCAGCTCCCTCATAAACTCCTCCCATGCTCGCCTCCAGGACTTCACTAGAGTCTCTCCCATCCTCTGGAACTCTCTACCCCAACCTGTCCCTCTATCTATCACTCTGACTGCCTTCAGGTGTTCCCTAAAGACTCATCTCTTCAGGGAAACTTATCCCGCCTCAACCTAACCACTGAACCATCACGTTCTCAAACAATTCATCCCCACACAGCTCCTTCCTCATGCATCACTGGCCCCTCCCTTTTAGATTGTAAGCCCCCACAGGCACGGCCATCCTTACCATCTTGTCTTGTATTGTGATTGTAATGTCTTCCTTATATTGTAAAGCGCTGTGCAAACTGTTGGCGCTATATAAATCCTGTATAATAATGATTAAAATTGACAAGTGCAAACATGATTGAAAGATATAAGAGGTGAATGGAATATTATCATTCTTGGATACAATGATATTCCTCTATAGGCCACATTATTATTTTGTTGGCTTGACTGTTCTTTGCAGGAAGGGAAAAAAAGAAAAAAGTCCAAGACGTAATTGCCCAGGAGGACCCCCCTACCCAGAGCCAGCATGCGGGTGATGTTGCGGAGGGGAGAGATGAAGACGTTGCGTCTGTTGTGCTTGGATGTGATGTTCCCGAGACACCGGAAATCTCCAGCTCTGGTGTGTACTCTTATGTTCTACATTTTATTGCCCGTACAGGACGCAGTGTGATGATTTTCTTTTCCATTCCAGTGCAAATTACAGACCCAAGGCCTGACGCCCCCACCATTCGTACCCCCACCATTCGTACCTCCACCATTAGCTGACTAATGTTCTGGAGGTTTTGACTAAATTTACATTTTTTGCTAAAGCTTTGAGATCCCATTGTTGCCATTTTTGGGGGGGTTTTTTGTAGCCAAAACTTTAAAAAAATCCCCACAATTTTCCTGTGTAATGTCTCTTTTTTTCTTTATATGTAGATAATTGTAGGTTCGTTGCACCCAATACCATACCGTAAACATATTAAGGTCCAATAAAAAGGTGAAGTAGTGTTCCCATTTAGTCAGCAGGTTTGCCATAGGCCTCCTGCCATTTTGTTTCTGTCATAGAGTATTCCTTTGACTTTATCCTCCGGAGACTAGGTGATTCTCTGTACATTTTAATACGGTAAGAGCTCAGCCGACTATACTGGGCCCTCCTGTCCCGTCCCCCCCCTGCTGGCCCGGGACCGGCACAGCGGCTCTCTGCACTGAGATCGGAGGGAGGTCAGCATACGTCCTCCTCTGGCTGATCTCCCCTCCGATCTCTGAATGTGGAAGTGATGTGTATTACGTCCAGGGCCGGATTTACTCTCTCTGCTGCCCCAAGGCCAGGTCCTCAATGTGCCCCCCTACCCGCCAAACCTCCCCCCATGGAGAATGGCAGACCTGCAGGCTGCATACAAGTGATCTCGGTGACATCGCCGGGATCCCTTGTACAAAACCAAGCGGCGGCTTCCCCCGCTGTACATTTAGTTCTGCTTGCCCAAAGCAGGGCTAAATGTAGAAAACTACCCGCCTTGTGCCCGGAACTGCATGCCCTGGGCATCGAAGGAAAGGAATTTCACCCCCCTGCTACCCCTCTACTCCCTGCTGCCCCAAGACCGGGCCTTGCTTGGTCTTGTGGGAAATCCGGCCCCGATTACGTCACTTCCGCCTTCAGCTGCCAGAAGCTGGTGAAGCAGATCTGTGCTTCATCATCATCATCTTTGTGGGTTCCTATGTGACATTAGGGGTCTAATAGACCCCTGATGTCTTCATTAAGAGGTACTGATCTCCCTGTACAGAGCCGCTGTGCTAGTCCCGCACTGGGCATAGCGCAGCTCGGGATCGGCGGCAAGGGGAGGGCCGATTGCACACCCGCACGTATAATACAAGCAATCCGGCGGCTCTATAGCTGCCGGACACTTGTATGTAAACAGCTATTGCTGGCTGTTTACATTTTCAACAGATTTCCTGCTCGTGCGTGTCACCTAGGGGCGGGCATGAGCGAGGAGGGAGGAGACGTTTAAAAACACCCACCCGCATTCAAGAAGCCGTCGTTCCACTACAACTGCCAGACGGCAAGTGGTTATTGACCAAGGACAAATGTGGGTTACGTAGGTTGAGAACCAATGCTCTAGACAACCGCAACAAAGTTGTTATCTCACAGAACGTTCGTTCGTGCAAACAAACGGTTCGGTGTGTCACGTGATCACCTGTGTCTCCTCCCCCTTCCACAGATCCCGGCACCAGACCCTGCACACGGAGGATGGAAGCAGCTGCAGCACATGCTATGCACGTCTCCAACACCCTGGAAAGGGGAAGTTATTGGCAGAGCAAGCAAAGAGCCACTCCCATGTCTTTCGAAGAGATGGTGGTAATGGTTAAAATCCTGGAGAAGGAAGATTATGATGGCAGACTTGCAATATATGAGAAGCCCATCCTCAGGAAGGACGTGATCTTGGAAAAAGTCATGGACGTCTTGCAGCAAAACTTTGCCGTGCAGAGAACGAAAGATCAGCTGAGGAAACGTTGGTCGGACCTGAAGTTACGTGAGGAGGACCAGCTGAAAAGGATACTAAAGGTCATCCAAATGAGTAAGTTGCTTATTCCTGCGTCCGGGAAGCATGCACTGACTTTGCTTTTCATGATGTCCCAGCATTGTAATTGTAGACAGTAATTCCTCCATAGATTCTTTATTTGGGTTCTCTGCCGGGCAGAGAGCAGAGTACTGGAACAAGATAGGGGAGGAGGCTACCCTTGCACCTCATGTCCCTCACCCCTGGAGACGGAGAGTGAGTGGACAGAGTCGAGGTCAAGCCAGGCAGATAGAGTACTGGGATAGGAGAGGAGGCTCCCCTTGCACCTAGTGTCCCTCACCCCTAGAGATGGAGACCGAGTGAGTGGACAGAGAGTCGAGGTCAAGCCAGGCAGACCGCAGAGTACTGGAACAGGATAGAGGAGGCTCCCCTTGCACCTCGTGTCCCTCACCCCTGGAGGTGGAGAGTGAGTGGCACGAGTGCCAATGGAGGTGTAGACACCGTTCTGGGTGGCAGTCAAGGAGCAGGTCAGACAGAGCCCAGGTCAAGCCAGGCAGACAGCAGAATACTGGAACAGGAAGCAGAAGCCTAGTCAAGGCAAGCCAATGGGTCAAACCAGCCGGGCAACCGTACAAGAGCAGGTGGCAAAGACAGAGTCCAGTAAACAGGCCGAGCTCAGGAGGCAGGCTGCGATCAAGAGATCCGGGGCAAACGCAGAGAGCAGGCAATCCGACGGAGTAACAGGAGCACAGGTCAGTAGCTGGAGACCATCGGAAAGCTGATGCCAGAATCGAACGTTCGTGCAAAAATCTAGCCGTGTATTCGCTACTTAAGATGTGGCCAAAAAACCCAAATTCTAAGGCCCCAAACTAGAGGAATGTTACCCAGCAGGAAACTGAGGCAATGAAAGTGGGCCAGGAATTGTGGAGAGGAGAAAAGGATCTTGTGATTCCAGCCAGCATCTCAAAGTAGCTAATGTGAGAGGAGGACCCCCTCTGAATATCCGTTGTAGGCATCTCCGGAGCTAATCTGAGGGGAGGACCCCCTCTGAATATCCGCAGTAGGCATCTCCGGAGCTAATGTGAGAGGAGAACCCCCCCTCTGAATATCCGTTGTAGGCATTTCCGGAGCTAATGTGAGAGGAGGAGCCCTTCTGAATATCCGCTGTAGGCATCTCCGGAGCTAATGTGAGAGGAGGACCCCCTCTGAATATCCGTTGTAGGCATCTCCGGAGCTAATCTGAGGGGAGGACCCCCTCTGAATATCCGCAGTAGGCATCTCCGGAGCTAATGTGAGAGGAGAACCCCCCCCTCTGAATATCCGTTGTAGGCATTTCCGGAGCTAATGTGAGAGGAGGAGCCCCTCTGAATATCCGCTGTATAGGTCCGCTTCATGTAATAGGTGAATGGAATATTTGCATTCATGGCTACAATGATATTCCTCGACAGGCCACATTATTATTTTGTTGGCTTGACTGTTCTTTATTTTTTATTTTTTTTGCAGGAAGGGAAAAAAAGAAAAATGTCCAAGACGAGATTGCCCAGGAGGACCCCTGTACCCAGAGCCAGCATGCGGGTGACGTCGCTGAGGGGACGGATCAAGACGTTGCGTCTGTTTCACTTGGATGTGACGTTCCTGGATCACCCGAAATCTCCAGCTCTGGTATGTACTCTTTATTTTCAACATTTTATTCCCCGTACAGGACGCAGTAAGATAAATTTTTTTTTTTCCTTTTCTATTCCAGTGCAAGTAACAGACCCAAGGCCTGACGCCTCCGCCATCAGTAGCGTCATGGCACACCTTATGCGGTGCCGCCGCGACATAGACGGCATGCAAACACAACTCACGGAGCTGCAGGGCACGCTGACTAATGTCCTGGAGGTTTTGGCTAAACTTTAATTTTTTATTTTTTTTTCCTTTTTGTTAAAGCTTCGAGTTGCCATTTGTTGGCATTTTTGTTTTTATAGTCAAAAATACAAAAAATCTCATTTAAAAAAAAATAAATTAAAAATGTTTATTTAGCATCTTCCTGTGTACATGCGTCCTTCTTTATATATAATTGTATGTTTGTTGCATCTGATGCCAGTCGTCGCTGGAGAATTGGAGAGGGGGGGAATCCCTGCAGGGAGATGATCGAGAAGTGAGCGAGCGAAGGTACAGTATGTGTTCAGCACGCACACGAGTGGGGAAACTGCTAGAAATATAAACAGTCAGCGATGCCTGTTTACATCCAAGCGATCTGACGCCCGATCACTTGTACTAGCTGCGGGAGTGCGCCCCCAGCCCCCGGTACCTCCGTGGCTGCCGATCCCGAGATCTGGTGCGGCTGGGATCGGCACGGTGACTGTCGCACGAGATCAAAGGGAGATCAGTACACGATCTAACGCTGAGCTCCTCTCTGGTCCCCGAATGCAGGAAGCGATCTGCACTATATTGCCAAAAGTATTGGATTCAGGTGTTCCGTGACATTTCCTGGCTACTAAATATTGCGCAGTCACCTGTTACTGGGATTATAACAAAGTAGAAGCAACTGGGAACAACAGCAACTCAGCCAGGAAGTGGTAGGCCACGTCACATGACAGAGCGGGGTCAGCGCACGCTGAAGCGCACAGTGCGCAGAAGTCGCCAACTGTCTGCAGAGTCAATAGCTACAGACCTCCAAACTCCATGTGGCCTTCAGATTGGCACAACAACAGTGCGTAGAGAGCTTCATGTAATGGGTTTCCATGGCCGAGCAGCTGCACCCGAGCCTTACATCACCGCGTGCAATGCAAAGCGTGGGATGCCGCGGTGTAAAGCACGCCGCCACTGGACTCTAGAGAAGGGGAGACGTGTTCTCTGGAGTGACCAATCACGCTTCTCTGTCTGGCAATCCGATGGACGTGTCTGGGTTTGGCGGTTGCCAGGAGAACGGTACTTGCCTGACTGCATTGTGCCAAGTGTAAAGTTTTGGTAAAGGAGGGATTATGGGGGGGGGGTTGTTCGGGGGTTGGGCTCCGCCCCTTAGTTCCAGTGAAGGGAACTCTTAAGGCATCAGCATACCAAGACATTCTGGACAATTTCACGCTCCCAACTTTGTGGGAGGAGTTTGGGGACGGCCCCTTCCTGTTCCAACATGACTGCGCACCAGTGCACAAAGCAAGGTCCATAAAGACATGGATGGGGGAGTTTGGGGTGGAGGAATGTGACTGGCCGCACAGAGTCCTGACCTCAACCCCATAGAACACCTTTGGGATGAATTAGAGCGGAGACTGCAAGTCCGGCATTCTCCCCCCAACATCAGCACCTGACCTCACAAATGGTCCAACATAAACCTTGTGGACGCCTTCCCAGAAGAGGCGGAGCCAACCCAATACTGAACCCTACGGACTAAGACTGGGATGCTACTAAAGTTCATGTGTGTGTAAAGGCCGGCGTCCCAATACTTTTGGTAATATAGTGTATCTGCTCATCAGAGCCACTATCTAAGCTCAGGTCAGTTCCTGAGTAACCAGGTGACCCCCCTAATGGTTCCCCAAAATAAACAGGCAGCTCATGTGTCTATAGTGTTCTGTGAGCTCTCAGCCTTTTCACCCAACAGGAGAAAGAGAGGCAGAGAGAGCCCTGAGCCTTATTCTATAGTTGCAGTGTCACTAGGGCCCAAGGTTGGGGGACCCACTGGAGATGATATGGCTGTGTAAATTTTTTTTTTTTATTGATTTGGCTGTCATAAGGTCCCGCTCTTGCTGGGGACCACTGCGCCACCTGTTTACAGTGACCCTCTGCATTTGCTCCTGCTGCCCTGATGAGAACAACCATAAGTGATATGTAAATATATAATAGTAATAGTGTGTGACTGTGGGGGAGACATTAGAGTGTAAGCTCCTCTGGTGCAGAGACTGATGTGACTGACTCAGTGTTCTCTGTACAGCGCTAAGGGCCCTTTTGTTCCTCAGGTCCACCACTGGGTTTGTGTACAGATGAGACTAATAATGAGGTCCGGCTATCAGGTCAGATGAGGACCCTCCGAGCTCCAGCACCCCAATGGAGATGTTTCCTCCATACAGTTTGTTTATTATTTAGTTTCACATTTATAAATATATTAAAAACTATTAAATTGTTTTTCATTTTATTTGTTATTGTCTGGATTTTATGTGAGGTATAATCTGTGTGTAGTCATGGATGTAACGTAATAGAGGAATAGACCACAAGGCAGCGAGCACAATGATGAAACATAACGGGGACTGTAGTATCTATATTCAACACAAGGTGGTGATCTCACATGGTAGACACCTACAGGAAGTGATGCAAGGTACAGACAGGAAATTATGTTGACGTAGAAACAGGAAGTGATGTTGATATAGACACAGGAAGTGATGTAAGGTAGAGACAGGAAGTGATGTAGAAGTACAAACAGGAAGTGATGTAGACGTACAAACAGGAAGTGATGTAGGTGTATACACAGGAAGTGCTGTAGGAGTGGAATGTGAGTTGGAAGCATGGGTAATGGTGGACAGTGTCCATAATCTCAGAACTATCCCACAAGATCTGACACTCTAAGCAATTCAGCATTTGTCTAAAGAGAGTCTTCTTTAGATCATGTGACTGTTTGATTTCTAAAATACAGATCAGGAGGATTCTGGGAAGTCTGCATTGATAATTGTTACCTGCTCCCTTCAAACAGGATTACAGGATAGTGACCAATATATCTTGTGAGCCATTAACACTCAGCAAGTGTCTTCAGCAGACATCACCCATCACAGAGCCTCCACCTCGCCGCCTGACAACAGAGGCAAACCGTGATAAAATATTCTAGAGGTTTCCAGTATTCAGAAGGACACCGGGATCTCTACAAGGACGTTGTGATGGAGAATGAGCCGCCCCTCACATCACCGGGTAAGAGGAGAGAGCAGTACGGAGGCTCCACCTAGATCCCCCATCATCTGATACACACATAGAAACAATGTATTCAGTCAGTGTGTGTGTTTCCTACAGATGGATCCAGTAAGAGGAACCCACCAGAGAGATGTCCCCGTCCTCTGTATTCCCGGGATTCCACACAGGAAGATCTCGCCATCCCTCACCATGATCAGGTAGGTGTGACTCGGTGTATAGAACACAGAAGTGATTCTGAACTGTGTGAGACAACATTCCTTTATGTATTCCATTAGTTTCATGTTTCTCGGCCTTTTGGCTAAGATCCAGTGTAGTATCTGTTCTTATCAGTTTTCGGTGGGGAAAAGAACCGTCCTTTCGGGGGGGATGGTTACTTCCCAGATAGCAAGGATAACTTGCTGCAAACTTGTGTCAGGGTGAAATTGTCATTTTTGTTAACTTGCTGCACACATTCCTGGCAAGTTGTAGACTTGCAGAACACTCGCAGCACAAGTTCTAGGCGACACTTTTTGAATTTGTAGCAAATTTGCTCGGCAAGTCTACAGCAAGAGTCCTGCAGGTCTTAGCAAGAGCTCTGCAAGCTCGCTGGTCTGGAGACTTGCAATGCAGACTTGATGTAATTGTGCAACAAAATTGTGAAGCTTGGCAAGTCTGCAATAGTTTAGCAAGTCACAATTTCTTGCTATCTGGGTTCGTACTCGCTGGAGTGAAGGCTGTGTTTGGGAGGCTCCTCACCGGCGAGGGGGCTTCCCGTCACAATGGCCTCCTGACTGAACGAATGCTTGCTTGGTCTGGCCGGAGGGTTCGGGGGCGGCAGAGACCCGTGGTGCTGTGCCCCCTGGGGGTGTTGCGTCCCAGGGGTGCTCAGGAAATCACTAGGGTGTGGGACCCAACATGTGATTCACTGTGCACATGAAAATAGCAAAAGGTTTTCCTGGCACACTCACAAGCTAGCATGTAAAAAAACTTGTCTCACACTAAGGTTAAAAACAGAGGTTTGGATACACGTCTTCTGCAGAAAATGTGAGAGCGCACAGCCGCGCCAAGGCACCTCTTATAGTGCGGTCCTAACTCTTAAATATCGGAGTCTCCATCTTGGAGCACATGGGGCAGAAGATAAAATTGGGTGCAGGTTTGTCAGGAGGAAGGCCAACCCCCCTAAAGGCACAGAGACGCACAAGTGATCCCGCACATCCCAATGGCAGCTGAGACCCCCCCATGCATCACTGCACCAAAACAGTCAAGCAAAACAGATGACAAACGCACTCATCAATTCGTCACCAGCTTTACAGTAAGGTGCACACGGAATGGGCTTTAAACAGTAAAATAGCAAAAAGTTTTCCTTTTTGCTATTTTACTGTTTAAAGACCATTTTGTGTGCACCTTACTGTAAAGCTGGTGACGAATTGATGAGTGCGTTTGTCATCTGTTTTGCGTCACTGTGCACATGGACACGGCACCTACTGCATTTTCTGCACAACGCCGCTTAGACAGGCCTTATGGCTAGTCTGGGGCAATATTTTTGCATCTGGATGCAGCCTGGCGAGATCTGTATTTAGCTCTGGTGACATCTGTATTTAGCTCTGGTGACATCTGTATTTAGCTCTGGTGACATCTGCATTTAGCTCTGGTGACATCTGCATTTAGCTCTGGTGACATCTGCATTTAGCTCTGGTGACATCTGCATTTAGCTCTGGTGACATCTGCATTTAGCTCTGGTGACATCTGCATTTAGCTCTGGTGACATCTGCATTTAGCTCTGGTGACATCTGCATTTAGCTCTGGTGACATCTGCATTTAGCTCTGGTGGGATCTGCATTTAGCTCTGGTGGGATCTGCATTTAGCTCTGGTGGGATCTGCATTTAGCTCTGGTGGGATCTGCATTTAGCTCTGGTGGGATCTGCATTTAGCTCTGGTGGGATCTGCATTTAGCTCTGGTGGGATCTGCATTTAGCTCTGGTGGGATCTGCATTTAGCTCTGGTGGGATCTGCATTTAGCTCCGGTGGGATCTGCATTTAGCTCCGGTGGGATCTGCATTTAGCTCCGGTGGGATCTGCATTTAGCTCCGGTGGGATCTGCATTTAGCTCCGGTGGGATCTGCATTTAGCTCCGGTGGGATCTGCATTTAGCTCCGGTGGGATCTGCATTTAGCTCCGGTGGGATCTGCATTTAGCTCCGGTGGGATCTGCATTTAGCTCCGGTGGGATCTGCATTTAGCTCCGGTGGGATCTGCATTTAGCTCCGGTGGGATCTGCATTTAGCTCCGGTGGGATCTGCATTTAGCTCTACTGACATCTGTACACAGCCTGGTGAGATATGTACTTGGCTCTTGTGACAGCTGTATTTCACTCTGGTGACATCTGTACACAACCTGGTGACATCTGTATTTAGCTCTGGACGCAGCCTGGTGAGAAACTGCCCTAAAATCATTAGTCTGTATTGTTTTACAAAAAATGTCACATGTCCCTTTTAAGAAAAAGTATCGATAATTGGTATCTGCAATTACCTGAGGCAAAGTACTTGTACTTGGTCTTGGTGGGATCTGCTCTGGCGACATCTGTATTTAGCTCTGGTGATATCTGTATTTAGCTCTGGTGACATCTGTATTTGGCTCTGGTGAGCTCTATACTCGGCTCTTGTGACATCTGTGTTCAGCTCTGGTAGGATCTGTGTCCAGCTCTGGTGGGATCTGTGTCCAGCTCTGGTGGGATCTGTGTCCAGCTCTGGTGGGATCTGTGTCCAGCTCTGGTGGGATCTGTGTCCAGCTCTGGTGGGATCTGTGTCCAGCTCTGGTGGGATCTGTGTCCAGCTCTGGTGGGATCTGTGTCCAGCTCTGGTGGGATCTGTGTCCAGCTCTGGTGGGATCTGTGTCCAGCTCTGGTGGGATCTGTGTCCAGCTCTGGTGGGATCTGTGTCCAGCTCTGGTGGGATCTGTGTCCAGCTCTGGTGGGATCTGTGTCCAGCTCTGGTGGGATCTGTGTCCAGCTCTGGTGGGATCTGTGTCCAGCTCTGGTGGGATCTGTGTCCAGCTCTGGTGGGATCTGTGTCCAGCTCTGGTGGGATCTGTGTCCAGCTCTGGTGGGATCTGTGTCCAGCTCTGGTGGGATCTGTGTCCAGCTCTGGTGGGATCTGTGTCCAGCTCTGGTGGGATCTGTGTCCAGCTCTGGTGGGATCTGTGTCCAGCTCTGGTGGGATCTGTGTCCAGCTCTGGTGGGATCTGTGTCCAGCTCTGGTGGGATCTGTGTCCAGCTCTGGTGGGATCTGTGTCCAGCTCTGGTGGGATCTGTGTCCAGCTCTGGTGGGATCTGTGTCCAGCTCTGGTGGGATCTGTGTCCAGCTCTGGTGGGATCTGTGTCCAGCTCTGGTGGGATCTGTGTCCAGCTCTGGTGGGATCTGTGTCCAGCTCTGGTGGGATCTGTGAATCTGTATTTAGCTCTGGTGATATCTGTATTTAGCTCTGGTGACATCTGTATTTGGCTCTGGTGAGCTCTATACTCGGCTCTGGTGGGATCTGTGTCCAGCTCTGGTGGGATCTGTGTCCAGCTCTGGTGGGATCTGTGTCCAGCTCTGGTGGGATCTGTACACAGCATGGTGGGATCTGTATGTAACCCTGGTGAGAAACTGCCCTAAAATCATCTGTATTGTTTTACAAAAAATGTCACATGTCCCTTTTTAAGAAAAACTATCGGTAATTGGTATCTGCAATTAACGGAGGGAAAGTACTTGTACTTGGCCTTGAAAAAGTGGTATCGTGACATCCCTAGTATTAATGAATGAATGAAGGGCTGCATTCACTTATGTCCTTGGTATCAGCTTTATGAGATGTTTTCTATTATTTTTGGGTTTAGGGTGAAGAACGGAACAATATAAAAGCTGAGGTTAAAGAGGAAGAAGTGGAGACGTATGTGGGGGGTGACCGGCCATCCACGGAGGAGGTCGGGATGATGATGATGAAAAGTGATCAGGATGACATTTCTCTACCGATCAACACAAGTAAGTAACAGACACTATGGAGGGAACAGGTCGCAGTTCTATGTCACTTCTGAGTAGAAGGTGTGACGTTTAAGGGATCATGTTGGAGAATTATCAGATCTTCACATCATCAGATAAGATCAGACTGAATTATAAAACGTGGACCATCAAAGTTGGGAAGAAGATCCCCCCAAAAGAAGTCATCTCTCCTATTGTACGATGAAGGGGTCGTCATCTCCTGATTAGTGTTTAGGATGGTTGGGGGTAATTTACAGCAAACAACCTCTCATCAAATGTTGGGTCCATTGTCATGGAGGAATAATACAAATAAAATGAATGAAAAAAAAAAAATACAAAACCGCAGTTGATCCCGATAAACCCTGGATGGAGAAATGTAACCAACAAATGAGGAGGAGATACTGTACACCATATGAAGGTCCATCTCCATTCCCCAATATAACGTCATGTGACCAACAAATGAGGAGGAGATACTGTACACCATAAGAAGGTCCGTCTCCATCCCCCCATAGCGGTCATTAATGAACAGTACAATGGTCTCCAGGGGGTCAGAGGCGTTTTGGGGGGTTCTGTCTCCTTTATCTGGTTGGTTTTCATATTTTGGTGTTACAATTGGACCCAATTCCATGCCAGAGCTCTGTGATGACTTCTAGACCAACATACATGACTCTGATTAGTGACGTGTGTAATAATTTCTCTCCAGCAGATGGATGTGATGTCAGGAATACCTCGGAGAGACATCTTATATTATCTGCTGATTGTAAGTCAGAAGATAATGTCATCACACAGGATTCTCCAGGAGTGAATCCAAACACACAAAATATATATCACAGACCTCACTGTTTGGAGACATCAATGGATCCCTCTGATCAGGGTGAATCTTCTGATCATTCACATACTATGACTGGAAATATCCATCTAAGATCTCACGCTGCAAGAGATCCATCTAATCCAGAGGAATCCTCCTCCCCCCATGAAGGAGATCACAGAGGTGAGGAGCCATTCTCATGTTCAGTGTGCGGGAAATCTTTCACTGAAAACAAAACCCTTCTCAGACACCAGAAAATTCACACAGGTAAACGTGCTTATCCATGTTCAGAGTGCGGGAAATCATTTTTTAATAACGGAGACCTTGTTGACCACCAGAGAATTCACACAGCTGTGCGTCCTTATTCATGTTCAGAGTGCGGGAAATCTTTCACTAAAAACAGAAAGCTTATTAAACACCAGAGAATTCACACAAGTGAACGTCCTTATCCATGTTCAGTGTGCGGGAAATCTTTCATTAAAAACACAAGCCTTCTTAGACACCAGAAAATTCACACAGGTGAACGTCCTCATGCATGTTCAGAGTGCGGGAAATCATTTCTTACTAAAGGAATCCTTGTTATACATCAGAGAATACACACGGGTGAGCGTCCTTATTCATGTTCAGAGTGTAAAAAATGTTTCCCTGAAAAAGGAACCCTTCTTAGTCACCAGAGAATTCACACAGGTGAACGTCCTTATTCATGTTCAGAGTGCGGGAAATCATTCATTCATAAAGGAGAACTTGTTAAACACCGGAGAAGTCACACGGGTGAGCGTCCTTATTCATGTTCAGAGTGTAAAAAATGTTTCTCTGAAAAAGGAGACCTTGTTAGACACCAGAGAATTCACACAGGTGAACGTCCCTTTCCATGTTCAGAGTGCGGGAAATCTTTCACAGTGAAAGGATCCCTTGTTAAGCACCAAAGAATTCACACTGGTGAGCGTCCTTATTCATGTTTAGAGTGCTGGAAATCTTTCACAGTGAAAGGAGACCTTGTGAAGCACCAAAGAATTCACACTGGTGAGCGTCCTTATTCATGTTCAGAGTGCTGGAAATCTTTCACAGTGAAAGGATCCCTTGTTAAGCACCAAAGAATTCACACTGGTGAGCGCCCTTATTCATGTTCAGAGTGCGGGAAATCTTTCATTCATAAAAAAAACTTGGGTGTACACAAGAGAATTCACACGGGTGAACGTCCTTATTCATGTTCAGAATGCGGGAAATCTTTCACTCAGAAAGGACACCTTGTTATGCACCAGAGAATTCACACGGGTGAACGTCCTTATTCATGTTCAGAGTGCGGGAAATCCTTCCCTGAGAAATATAATCTTCTTAAACACCAGAGAAGTCACACTACGCAGCGTCCTCACTGCATTCCGACTCGGGAAATGTCTAATTAGACTTCATTTATCTGTAACACTTCAGAGAGGAAGTTCCTGCTGATTCTGATGACAAATGTACGATGGTTTTTATCAGGTGGAACTGTTTAGTCCATAGAACAACTGGAGGAAATGAAAACACTCGGACTCATCACATGGGTGCAGAGGCCTGTACAGAGAGATGAATGAGTTTATGCACTTGGGTGGCCCCCAGGAGTTTCCAGGTGCTTTCCTTCAGCCACAGGCAACAGTTACGTTCACACGCTTTTATATAAAGGAACAGGCAAAGAAATTAACACCGATACTCGAAATACACTTGAGATAGCTACGGAGTGAAACAACAAATAGATCCAATAATGTGATGAAGTGCTACATCCCAAATACACACATTATGAGGGACCCGTACGTCCCCAAGTATATATGGAACAATATATGTGACACTTGAATCATAGCAAACTGCCCACTGCCACTAAGATGCAGGCCAGGCAAGGAGCACTAAACCAAAACTAAGAGAATAGGAAAAAGAAAAGGAGAATATGTAGAAAACCGAGAAGAAGGAAACTGAATAGAAGGAAGAGAGATAAAAGGGGAGAGGGAGAGCCGCCTTCCACAGATGAGAGGGAAGAAAGGGGACAGAGGAAGCCAGGAACACGAAAGGTCCAGAACACATCCAAGGGGGGTAAACCCTCAAATAGGGAGATAGCACGCAGCACCAACCAGCCCAATACAGATCAGGAAACTAGAGAGTTCAGGAATCCATAATAAAGGAGGCCGGCAAGGAGGCGACAATCCAAGGAGTCCATGTCTTCTTATATGTAGAGAAACTTTATGTCTAGCAGTAAGCTTCTCATAGAACATGACCGGAGACACCAGAGCTTTCACACTGGCAGAGGAGAGAGACAGAGATTTCCAGGCCCAAGCCAGTCCTCTCCTGGCCATTGTAAGTGTGTGTGTTACCGGTCTATATTGTGTAAGTGTACAAACCTCAGGCATCGTATTCAGTAGAGTCTCAGAGGGATCATTACAGAAGGAGGTGTAACATACTTACTTCTCCACCATCCGGTTCCGGGTTTGTAGGGAGGAAATTCCAAGTTGGAAAGAAGTGAACAGAACCCCCCTCCCTCCCCCACATTCCGCCATCACTTCTGTCACTAATGTAAAACAATGCAGACTTCGGTAACTGACAGAAGGAGCTGAGAAGAGCCTCACAGCCAATCAAGAGTCCATGCTTCACATCACCTCCACTGTCATTTCCTCCACAGTAACCAATCACAGGGCGGGATCAGAGTCACCGGGCAGATTCTGCTCTCCACAGAGATTTACCTCAGATTTCACACCTCCTCCACTGTCATTGGCTGCACGCCCTCCATAGTAACCTATCACAGGGCGGGATCAGAGTCACCGGGCAGATTCTGCTCTCCACAAAGATTTACCTCAGACCTGACCACAGACACCCCCTATTATTATACATTTATATAGCTCTGACATATACCGCAGTGCTGTACAGAGATCACTGAGCCAGTCACATCAGTCTCTGTACAGAGGAGCTTACACTTGAATGTCCCCCCACCGTCGTATACATTTATATAACTGACATATACCGCAGTAATGTACAGAGAACACTGGGCCAGTCACATAGTTTGTTAACGTGGAGAGACATTAGAGTGTAAGCTCTTCTGTACAGAGACTGATGTGACTGGCTAGTGTTCTCTGTACACCACTGCAGTATATGTCAGTGATATATATATATATGTATAATAATAGGGGGGTCTGTGTGGGGACATTAGAGTGTAAGCTCCTCTGTACAGAGACTGATGTGACTGGCTCTGTGTGTAGTCATGGATGTAACGTAATAGAGGAATAGACCACAAGGCAGCGAGCACAATGATGAAACATAACGGAGACTGCAGTATTTATATTGAACACAAGGTGGCGATCTCAGTGGTAGCCACCTACAGGAAGTGATGTAAGGTACAGGCAGGATGTGATACAAGGTACAGAAAGGAAATTATGTAGACGTAGAAACAGGAAGTGATGTCGGTATTTATACACAGGAAGTGATGGAGGTGTGAAGCATAAGTTGGAGGTATGGGGACTGCAGGACAGTGTCCAAAGCATGCCGCTCCGTCACCGTCTCCTCACGTCCTCTCATCTTCCCCTCAATCTGACTCTGTTTCCGGCCGTCTCATGCCGCTCAGTCCCCCGGCTCCGCCCTTCCTCTCACATCTCCGCCCCCATCTCCCTCTTTCTCCACCCCCTGCCGCTCCGTCCCCCTTCTCCTCCTGCTCGCTCGCCGATTTCTCCCCGTCGCCTGCCTTAATGTTTTGGGGCCTGAACCTGGGCTCACGTGCCAGCAGAAAGGGCCTCGCGTGCCCTCCCTGGCACGCGTGCCATAGGTTCGCCACCACTGACCTAGATCCTCCATCATCTGATACACACATAGAAACAATGTATTCAGTCAGTGTGTGTGTTTCCTACAGATGGATCCAGTAAGAGGAACCCACCAGAGAGATGTCCCCGCCCTCTGTATTCCCGGGATTCCACACAGGAAGATCTCACCATCTCACATAAGGTGAAATAGAGAAATAATCGATAATAGGGGATAGATTTTGGCACGTCCCGAATCATTGTTTTATTTCATCTGATCTCATTGTTCCCAATATTCAGGGTATAAACCAGAGTGAGTGTGATAATGATGTTAAAGAAGAGATAAAAGAGGAGGAGAAGATTATGATGGAACCGTACAGTGACACAAACCCACCAGAGAGATGTCCTCATCCTCTGTATTCCCGGGATTCCACACAGGAAGATCAGAACATCCCTCACCATGATCAGGTAAGTGGGACTCGGTGTGTAGAAAACAAGTGATTCTGAACTTTGTGACGCAACATTATTTTATGTAGTCCATTGGTTTCATGTTTGCTTTACTCCATTTCATCTTCCCCTTGGAGAACCTCCCACTTTTATTGCTTTCTATAAAGACTGGATCTATGTCTTTTATATGGAGACTACAGGAGGCCGATACCAAGTCACATTCAGGTACTTACACTATAAACACATTTAATGTTGTAATAATGAATGAAGAGCTGCATTCCTTTGGGTTTAGGGTGAAGAACGGAACAATATAAAATCTGAGGTTAAAGTGGAAGAAGTGGAGACGTATGTGGGGGGTGACCGGCCGTCCACAGAGGAGGTTGGGATGATGATGATGAAAAGTGATCAGGATGACATTCCTCTACCGATCAACACAAGTAAGTAACAGACACTATGGAGGGAACAGGTCACAGTTCTATGTCACTTCTGAGTATCTCCATATGAAGGAAATGTAGCAGGAAGGTGGGGGCTGTGGTGATGTGATTGGAGAAGGAGGGGCTGCGGAGATGTGATTGGAGAAGGAGGGGCTGCGGACATGTGATTGGACAAGATGGGACTGAGGACATGTGATTGGACAAGAGGGGACTGAGGACATGTGATTGGAGAAGGAGGGGCGGCTGCAGAGATGGGAAGGGACCATGATTTGAGAGGGCTGGGGAAAGGTGATGGGAGGTGCAGGAAATATGTGATGGAAGGGGTGTTGGAGTTTGGGGAGAGGTGCAGGGTGGACCGTGGTGATGGGAGAGTCCAGGGGGCATATGAAGATAGTGGAAAGAACAGAGGGCATGAGAGAGATGGGGGAGAAAACAGGCATATCTCCTAAACCTACAGGGGTCATTTATAGGTTTAAGAGATATGTGTCTTCGATCTATAGAAAATAAAAATTAACCCCTCCCCATTTAAGTGTAATAATTATCTAAAATGCTTTAACATACATCCTAATATTTAGGAAAATCTACTGCTATTTTTAAAGGAGAACTCTGGGGTCAGGGCTTTTCCCCATAGTTCTCCTCAGGGTAACGGGAGGACACAAACTAGCGTCCTCCCGTCACCCAAAGCTCAGTATACCGCGAGCTACAGCTCCCAATATACTGAGACGCCGCAGCCAGAGCGGATCCCAACATCGATGTCGAGATCCGTCCAGCTGCGTCAGTGACAGCTGGCTCTGCCTATCTAGAGGCAGAGCCAGCTGTACCCGCCCCCTCCCCCGTCCGTTCCGCCAGTCAGCGCTGGCAGATCGGAGCGGGGAGTCCAGCCCCTCCCCCTGTCACGACTGTACTATAAATAACGGGGTATATGAGTGTGTGCATGCATGAGTAAATGACTTTGCATTTTTGTATGTATGTATGTGTGTACATATGAGTGTATGTATACGTGCATATGTAAGATGGGGCCTCATGTTTAAGTTTCGCCTTAGGCCTCACAAAGTCTAGAGCCGCATCTGGCAGTGAGGACCCAGCAAACAGAACACACACCGGAACAACTGAAGACAGAAGCGGTAAGGGGGGGGGATGTGTAGTCCTCTATAGCCTGTGCCATTCTGCATTGCTGTAAATATTAGGGATGCACCGATATATCGGCCGCCAAAACATATCGGCCGAAAATGGCACTTTTGGCTAGATGCTGAAAGTGCCATTTTTTACAGCAACGCATCCCTGCTTTCTTTCCTCCCCGCCGGGCGCTGCTCTGTGTCCCAGCGGGGTGGACAGAAAGTGTGACAGCCGGCCGAGCGTTGCGGGAGGAGAGCACTCTGTTTGTGGGGGGTTTTTTTGGGAGGGGGCCCAAAAAAATTTCTTGCACCAGGGCCCTTCGTTCCTTAGTTCCGCCACTGCCCGCGATTGTATGATAATCGGCAGGTGTATGGGCAGCGTGCGACCGCTTCTACTGTAAGGTCGTACGACTTTCGTCTGCCAAGCACGCTGGAAAACCTGCCGGAAATCGTACGATTTTTGGCGGGTAGGTGACGTGGTCGGAAGACGAATGCCGCACGGGGCGGTGTGCGCAAGCGCACACTGCCCGCTCAGCACTGCAATCATCAGAAGCCCGCCCCTCAGCGGGGAGGGCTTGCGATGATCGCAAATACGATCGGCCTGTCCAAGATGGGCAGATCGTACGAGATTTTAATGTTTAATGACCTCACAACTATCGCATAACGAAAGTGGTGCGATGGTTGTAAGGTGTATGGGCAGCTTAAAGCACAATAATACACTGCTCAACAACGTTACACCACCAGCCCCCTCACCTGTTTACGTCTTTGCAGAGAGGAGGCTGTGAGCAGGATCTATCCCTGGTTTATCTGTGAGTGATTACAGAGGTCTGCAGCAGCCCTCACTATCTCCCCCAGATAACCATACATCGATCCTGCTCACATACATTCTTTCTTTCGGTCAGAGCTCCGGCCGAAGGAAGCCGGAGCTGACAGGAGCTGCTCTGCGG